ATAGATCCAAGCTTAGAGTGTACATTAAGGCTAAGGTGTCATACGAATACTGGAGATATTTTATGAAGGAAGGTAGAAAGAAGCTTACTGACTATGATAAGCAATAATAAACTAACTTCACCAGAATTGCTATTTTGAAAGAAATGACCCTCAAAATCATGGAGGAATACAACTTGGGGTGAGTGGGATTATCAATAAAAATGTGAATACAGATTATCCAGTTTGGGTAAAAAATTTTTATAGAACATTTATAGATTGCTACTGCGTAAAGAGATAGGCAGAATTTACATGGAAAAAGGACTAAAGATCCCAGATATGTCTGTAAAGCGAATGAAGTTATGCATTGGGAAAAGTATGGTGAGTATATAATGAAAAACGTATAAGAGAAGGAGCAAAGTATAAGATGTGGACCGAATTACCGTATAATGTTATATAGGGTACCCGGTTCCACTGTCCATTATATAATGTATAACTGATAATTAGATGCTGAAGCCTTCTGTTGCCGTAATCAGACGAAACCTGGAGATACCTGAGTGGAATGGTTTGCCTATTTACGAATTGCTGAGTGATAGGGATAAAAAGGAAATAGAAGTATGAGTGGTATATAATTGTGAACATTGTGAACAGTGTTGTACAGTACTGTTCAATTAAGGAAGGCACTATCCACCGAGGAGACTTAACGCTCCCAGGATTGAACAATCCAGAAAATGCAGGAATATACTATGAGAAGGAAAGTGCAAGTACATTAGGAGTGTAATGCTAAGAAAAACAATAATAGTGTATTTTAAGGAATCTGCCACGCCAAGTGGTAATGTAGTCGGAACCAGGAAGCGTATCTTATCTGAGCAGGAAAATCAGGAAAGACCACAAAAACGAATATTAAGGGAAGATCAAAGTGAAAATGTAGTGGTTGATTCATGGGATGTTAGTTGTTTTAGAATCGTGTTTTAGAATCAGAGTTTTTAGGATTTGTTAGCAGTTGTTTGTTGTATGAAGAATGATGTTTCATCAGAAATGACTAATAACGTTTTATGATTATCACTTACTACTTTATAAATTAAACTGGGAAAGTAAGTGAATTGATGACTAAGAAAGAGAATGTGAAATTGTTGTAAGTAGAATGAGATAAATTGCGTCAATTTGAGGCACGATGAAGAAATTCGTGATACCCTCAGTTGAGTATTATCAACTCACAATGTTGGGCTTCCCTCGAGCTACTGTAAGTTGCTAGTAATCACGAAAGAATTAATGAAAAGTTATAAACATTCAAATGAACAAAAAACTTTGAAGGGGGATTGTCAAAGTGTAGTTTACTCTCCGTTCCGCACGTGCCCTTAGACGGAGAGCAAACAGACGAGTATACTCCCCTTGTGCTCATCAGTAAGGAAGGGGAGA